GATGTAGTTTTTCAAGCTCTTTCTAATGGTGAAGTCAATTTTACCCCAAAATGTCGTCATTTTCCCCTTAATCGTTTTTACGACGAAATTTCGTGTTTTATATGCCGATCGGGATACTACTTTTTTTCTATATCCCGATCAGGATATAGAAGGTGTCCCCTTACTGACCGACAGGTAGCGGACTAATTCTTTTGTTATTTTACTCAGATTTTACTCAGGCCTCTATTACTATTTACTATTTTTATTATAGTCAGGCATAGATCCTCTGTTTTGTTTCGGATCGAAATTCAGTAAGAGTCAAGATATTGCAACAACATTCAATCACACTATTAAGCATGAAGAACAATATCAGCTAAGTCGCATTGAAATATGTTGTATTGTTTTTTTTGAATGAAGCAGGTTAGCTTTTCATTCTTAATTTATCTTTTACATGGTGTATTATATTGATAATTCTAAAAATGGTTTAAAAAGTTTTTTGCGATAATGTAGGTAAAATAAGTGATTTTAACGGACAACTAAACACGTAAAACTGCGGTAACTCTGTGAATATTCGGTCTCTCTAGCCATAATTTTAAGAAGAAACATCTGATTTCGTTAACATGGACAATTCTCCAGGTTTACTGTTCTCTTTGTAGTTTTTCTTTTGTTAAGAACAGCTGCAATGAAGGTTTCTCCTATCAGTGGAAAAAATAAAAAATATCACAGAAAATATTCGTTAAATGAAGCATTCAAAAATAAATAAATAGTCGAAACAAGTGTTACAGCAGCTAACTCAGTTGAATGTTCTCGTCAGGTCTTTAAAATGATAAGCTTAGTTTTTGTTACAAACGATTATTTGATCATTTAGTAGCGAACTGTGTGGTGACGATTTCCATTGTAGATGATATACATAACCTAAATAGCTGCACACTTGTTTGGACTATTTACTTATTTTTAAATGCTTAATTTAACGGTTTTGCGTCAAAGTGCATTCTTCATAAAGAAAAACACAAAAGAAAGTTATATCATACGTTCCTTATTTTTCTTTTTGGGAAAGAACAGTAAGAAATTTCCTTTTCCAAAAGAAAGGAAGCTTCGGTTTTACTTTTCTATTTTTTGAGAAAGAAACGAGAAAGTGCCAATTCAAGTTCATCTTTCCTTTAATTTTTTACAGACGCTTTCCAACGCCAAGGGTCCTTTTCGAAACTCGTCGTAAAGCTCTTAAGAGTCTTTCTGTGTAGATTTTACTCTTCCTCTATTAACGAATATTTATGGAAAAAAACAAGATAAAAGCAAAAAGACTCAATGCGATAGTCATTTAACTTCATAAGTGGAGTCTAATTATCACTCTTTTATGTGTAAATGCAATGAAATACAGATGGTTCTTTGACTTTGTCTCAAAATCGATTTGACATATATCTAACATGCGCTCTCCTTTATTACTTTTTTGCTACTCACATCTCATAACGATGGAGAAGAAAAGAGAATAAATACCGGACTATTTCGTTAAAGAAATTCACTTCACATTCTTCGAACCGAGTTATACAAACAGAAACTTTTTTGTGTTCTCCAAAAGATACAGCGAAAATGAAATTCGCCACTATATTGCAATATCTGAACAAAAATCCTGCCACCATCATCAAATACTTCGATGTCAGATTATTTGTACGTGATAACAAAAAATGGATACTATTCGTATCCGTATGTGTTCTTATTCAGCTATACACTATTGTTATATTTCCTATCCAGTCGAACAAGTATCAATTTAATGAAAAAACTGATCAAAAACTACTTGATGGTTGCCGTTATGTTTACATTGACATGGGAACAAATATTGGTATACAAATTCGAAAACTTTATGAACCACAATTGTACGCAAATGCGCCTGTTCTCCCACTATTCAAAGAAATATTTGGAAATTATTCAAATGAAGTGTGTTCTGTTGGCTTCGAAGCAAATCCTCTACATGACAGTTACCTTAAAGAATTTCAAACTTATTGTTTAAAACGAGGTTGGCGGGTGAAGATTTTCACGTCGACAGCTGTAAGTATTAAAGATGGAAATGTCACATTCCACACAGAACCGGGTAATGAACAAAATAACCAGTGGGGTGCAAGTTTAGTAGCTAGGCCAAATACAGCGAATATAACCGTACCAAGTATCGACGTCTTGTCGTGGTTAAAAAGCACAGTATTAGATCGAAAACTGTCCCCTGGATTTCTTCCACCAAGAATTATGATGAAAAGCGATATTGAAGGACATGATTCAATGGTACTTGCGAATCTTATACTTAGCGGTCTTTATTGCTCAATTGATCTCATCTATGGCGAGCATTTATCGCCTCAATTTCAAGATTCAGTTTCGTTATTTCAACAATATTCAGAATCGTGCAAAACTAAATTAATTAGTATGGACGATGAATCGTATCATACAGCGAGATTTTCTTTTATAATCCAAAATTCAACTTATTGATCTCTAACAATTTTGTGAGATTGCAAGTAGTAGGAAAGCAAGCCACTCGTACCAGAAACCCATGACTCTAGCCACAGTGTCGTAAGACGCTTGAGAAATAGAATGAACTTATACAGACTCCCTGTTCTCCCGTCATATTTAGTAGATTTCTTTTCTCAAGTGTGCTTACGGGCAGGAGGGAAGAGCCATCTCAAATATGATAATTAACTAGAGCGAGACAGACAGAATGTTAGACACTGACTAGAAAAAATGTAGTCTTACACCCGTTTTTGTATGAATATCTATGAGCAGACTTTCTTTTATCTCTTTCTTTAATTTATGGGATTCTGTGGCGAGTATTCCTGAATTCCAATTAGTTCTATGTGCACTCGCGTAGCCGTGAATGGCAGTCCTTGAGAAATCTTGCTCATAACATGATTGCTTATGTTCTTCTTTTCTTCTCTCCTCTCGTCGCCTGCCTAATATAACTATTAGAACATCCATAATAGTCATACTTACACTACGGTTACGCTATGCAAATAATCACGATTATCTTCAATCATGATTAAAAGATAATCGCAATTAAACATTTTCTACTGTAACCGCAATTTTTTTGGTTAAGATATTTAATCACGATGAATAGAATTGTGTCTAACCGCAGTAATCACCGATTAAGTAGATAATCGTGATTTAACTCGTGATAACTATTACTATACATACTCAGTGCGCAGGATAGAACTCATTTGTTGTGTTGGCACGGTTAAAATGAATATAGAAACACTTTTTAATCTGATCAACAGATTTGTTGACACCGGTTGCTAATTGGTTTTCGGTTATCACAGGGTATCCACGGATGCTACAAGTCTTTTGTTCTTTTTTGTGATATCCTGCACTTTAGTAAATAAAATCTTCTCTTCACAATTAATATCTCTTCTTGTACTTTTTTCCAGGCGTCACTATTCCGATGACTAGTCATTTCGTTCGATATCTTTTCATCTTTTAACAAATTTAGTAGCAAGTTTGTTTCTTCCTCGGACCACCACGATCTTTCCATCTTCGTTTAACTCTCGTAACAGGTTCGAGTCGGGGCTCTTCTGTTCGATTACATAAAAGATACGTCTTTTGTCGTCCGACCAACCGCAAATCGCTTATTTGAAATATAGAAGAAATAGAAAAAATGAAGGTTACAACCGCTCATCGATAACCGTAACCGGTACACCCCTACTTCCGAACATGATTATCTTTGCTCATGATTTTCAAAATAATCGTGAATAACACTACACATTTACACAGTTACATTACTAGTTTAATCACGATTAAAGATAATCGTAATTATTTGCGTAGTGCAACGCAACCGTAGTGTTATACACCACTCTGCTCTCGTTGATTATGTTCTTATACGTTCGTCCAAACACGGAGGAAAGAACGTGTCCAGCTTTAAAGCCGAACGGCACCACTTTCATCGGGGGATAAAGAAGTTTTTGCAATTGATTTGTCAGGTTTGTTCTCCATAATAAGGCATGGAAAAATAGTATCGTTTTAGATTAGGCTGAATATGTTTTTGTATAGTCTTACTTAACCTAATTCCTCGTATCGTATCGTCTTCTTTACTGTATTAAACGGATAGTCATTCGTATGAAAAATATGTACAGAATAATCTAATATTTTTCAAATAGTTCATTTGATGAACATATTCTTTTAGCCCGAGTACAAAGATATTTTATCAAATTGATTTTATAATTCCTTGGCTGATTACTAGTCCAGTAGCAATACAATCCAGTATCGGTAGGCTTTCGGTAAACATAAGTAATCAACTCCTGTACCGTCCTCTCTATCATTACGTCTAAAAGCAGTAGTTTATTGTTATTTTGAGCTTCAACTGTAAATTTAATAAATGGAGGATCTAATTTATTCATAAATTTTACAAACTTGGCAATATCTTTTTGAGTGCAATTAATAGTAGAGGAGATATCGTCCACGTAAGTAAACTGTAGATTTTTTACTCGAATACTTATCAATTTCTTTCTCTAGTTCATTCATAAACAAATTAGCCAGAATGGGGTCCAAAGGCCTTCCTACTGGAAACCCATTAGTCAGATCATAATTTTAACCGTCAAATGTAAAATTAGTTCTTTTTGTCCATATGTAAAACAATTCTCTTAAATTATTATCACTAATTTTCCAATCGAGATGATACTGTCTGACCTTTTTCCATAGCTATATCAGCAGACTTTTCCAATGATACAGTTGTAAATAGAGCAGAAACATCTAGTGAGAACATCAACCCAGTCGAGTCTTTATTCGAATGAATTTTATCAACAAAGTCGAATGTATGACAATCCCTCTTTCGTTGCTAAGGATAATAAATTAGCAAGAAATTTCACCGTTTTATATTAGGAGTTCTTGGACCTGCATCAGATCTCATTCTGTTATATACTCATCATCTGTGGTAACTGTACGAGAACGAAAAAACATATTATATCTTATACCTTAGTTTTGATATTCTGTTTTTTTCGAACAAAAACATGTTGATGGCAATCAAAACGAAAAGAAAAGAATAAGAAAATGCAAATTATTGTAATGAAAGAAAATGATAGACTTAACGTTAGTGATACAAAATGAATTCTTTTTTTTCTTCACCCAAGAACAGTCAAATAATATCGACATATTCTCAATAAGAACGTTTAGAACAAAATTAACGTATTTATTTTGTAAACAAAAGAAACACATAGTACAGTTTTTTTCTTAACGATCTGTCCTTCAGTTCACCAACTTCATTCGCTTTCTTGCGTACATATATTACGAAAATATAAGTGGCATGCTATTTGACTGAAGAAAAGAAACAGACGGCTCTACAATATGTTCTTTTCTTCATTAATTATATTATACAAACAAGTCTTTCTCTTACTAGGGAACATATTTGAGTGTCCGCCCTAGATGAAAAGTAGCCTGTCTTGTACCGAATTTGATGCTGTTTACTAATATGAATATCTTACCCGCTCTCGTAGATGCCTTGAAAAAGTAGAGGGTACAACTGCTGGTAGATATTAGACTAATATTTTTTTGCAAGAAAAACAGGAAAGATTTAACATGAAAGAGTCGTCTTTCTGCTAGATAAAATAGCATATCTGAAAACTCCGTGCTTGCCTTTTTCCATTAACAGCTCTCTTTTTAAGATCGAGTCAGTAATGGACGTGGAATGACTGATTGATACAAAACTGTATCGCGTTTTCAGCTTTGTGCAGATAATTGATCGGAGGCAAGATGCTGTAAAACCCTGCACGTACGAATGGGTATATTCATGGGAAAAATCCTCGTAAGATACTCGTAACATGTCTCAAATCACAACGTGATCGAACTCGAATTTTAAGATTTTTCACACTATCTTTTGAAAGCACTACGTTCCAGTAACTACATGAGCTACGCATTTTTCGAATATGTTATTTTATAGCAGAAAGACAACTATGTTAAATGTTTCCTGTTTTTCTTGCAAAAAAAGACTAGTGTAACAAAAGTAATATCTACCAGCAGAAATTAATTGGTACAGCAGTTGAAAATATATAATGAATTAGATAGTACCATACTGCTACGAAGTACATGATTAGATTTTATTCAAATCCACAGTAATTCTATCTCAAGCTTTCGACGAGTAACAC